AGAGAGAGAGAGAGAGAGAGAGAGAGACTCAAATAATAATAATATATGGGACCCAGATAATGATGGCCAGAACTCAAGGCTGGTTTTGCCACCGAGGGAAAACATTGCCGGGGTGGGTATGGTGACACACACCTATAATTCCAGGACTTAGAAGGCTAGCTCAAGGCCATCTTGGACTATATAGACAGTTCGAGGCTATCCTGGGTAACTTAGCATGGCCTGGTCTCAACCTAAAATGCAAAAAGGGCTGAAGCTGTAGCTCAGTGGTGGAGTGCTTGCCCCTGCCATGTCCAAACCCGTCCTGGGTTCTGCCCCCGGCACTGTCGGTCAGGTCCCGCAGGGGTGTTCTGTGGTGCCCATTTCCTGATCCTGGGGTGCTGGACCCCAGCTGAGCCTGGTGCTTGCTGTCTGCTCTCTTCAGGTCACCGTGTCCGTGGCATCCCTGCTTCTCCTGCTGGGCGTGGCAGCCCTGACCACTGGCTACGCCGTACCCCCCAAGCTGGAGCTTGTCAACGACAGTAAGTTCTCATCGATGGATGATCCAGTAGCCGACTATAACCAAGCCCTGATCACCTGCCGCGTGGCGGGAGCGACGCTGTGTGCGGTAGCGGGGGTCTTGCTGGCTGTCTGTCTCTTCTTGGCCACCTCTGGCTGGCTGACCCAGGACATCAAGGCGGAGCCCTTGGTCACCGAAGCTGACAGCCCTGTGGAGGTCTTCAGGGATGAGCCCGAGCAGCTGTCCCCCGGCTTCCAGGATGCCAGCAGCCAGTCCTGGTTCTTGACTCCCACGAGTCCCTTTGGGCCGCGTTCTGTGCAGACCAGCCAGCCCCAGCGGGATTCCTAAGTCTGTAGGCTAGAGTTAGACGCTCTAGTTAGACACTCCCCCCCGGTACTCCCCGCTCTCATCGCGCTTCTTCCTCTCGGTAGTGCCAATTTCTCCAGAGCCCTCATAGCTCCCTAGAGCCCCCCAGTAAGCCTCATGCTCCAATCTCACCCCTGCTCAGTACAGGGGCAAACTCAATCGAGAACTGTCCTTCCAGGCTGGAGAAATGGCCACGTGAGTGAAGGGCCTTCCTGGCCAGACTGACAACCTGAGTTCCATCTCTGGGACCTAGAAGGTTTCAGAAGAGACCCAGCTCTCTCCAGTTGTTCTCTGGCACACACACACACACACACACACACACACACACACCACCACACACAACACTCACACGCACAAAGAAAGGTAGTGAAAAATAAAAAGTCTAGGGATTAGGAAAAGTGGGATGTCCCTCAAAGTCCACCTCCTAGACAGCAATGCCCTCTGGGCCTGATTCTGACCGTCTAGAGGCCCCAGCCCCTTCTTCCTATGGACTGCCCGGCCAGGAGGACTTCCTCTCGTAGGACACTAGAGGGCGCTCCAGGACAGCGGAGGATCCTGCGTCTGGCCGCCCCCTGCTGGCCTTTGGGGCTTCCTGGGTGGCGGGAAGAGGGTTCCAGCAAATCCCTACCACCTTTGTGCCCCGCAGGGTGTACTCTCCGCTTCTCGCCTCCTCCATCTTGCCTCGCCTTTCAATAAACAGTTGGGATGAACACCGTCTTTGCTTCCTTTCTCCTAGATCATTGGAGCATCGGGAACCGGAGAGAGAAATGGTTCCTAGCTGAGACCTACCATGTGCTTAAATCCTCTTTCTCATTTGCTCTCCAGGACAACCCTTTAAGAAAAAAGATGATTAAACCATGGTGGCTTGAGTCTTTAATCTCAGTACTCAGGAGGCAGAGGCAGGTCTAGCTCTGAGTTTGAGGTCAGCCTGGTCTACCCAGAGAGTTCCAGGACAGCCAGGGCTACACAGAGAGACTCTTATCTTAATTAAAAAAAAAAAAAAAAAAAAAAAGGAAGGGGAGAAGAAGGAAGAGGAGGAGGGGGAGGAGGAGAAGGGGGAGGAGGAGGGAAGAGAAGAGAAAAAGGTGATTGTACCCACAGGTAGATAACTAAGGTCAAAGATGGGCAGTCAGGAGTCTAAGGCTCCTGGTGTTTACTTCCTTTATTGGCTTATTACCCCAGAGTGGCTCTCCTTCTTGCCCTGGGGTGGGAAGAAGATCAATCGGCCCATCCCTGAGAGGAATGGGCGGGGGCAGAAACCAAAGGGGGCTCTTTTGCAGGACCCTCAGAACCAGGCACAGTAGCACATTCATGGAAACTAAACACTGGGGAAGTTGAGGCAGGAAGACTGTGCAAGTTCAAGGCCAATGTGGGCAATCTAGCAAGAAACACACACACAGTAGAGGGACCACTCTCCCTGATGGACACGAGCAAGGCCAGGCCTCGTTTTCCATGTTTTACAGACAAGCATTTAATATCCCTGACACAGCTAGTGTGACATGAAAAGCTGTCACTCTGAAAGCTGGCTCCCGACTCCCAGTCACGTGTTTTCAACTGCAGTAACCACGGGGTGAGTTTCATGCCAACCATCCTGGCTGTCCCATTCACTGCTCCTCGGACCCCACTGGGTGCCTCTGCTGCCTCCATGCTGGGAGCAGATTCAGATGCTCACACCTCAAACCCAGCATAACCCCACCTCGGACACAAATCCTGTCCCCAGCCATGTCCTGGGCCAAGCCAGCTCCTTGACCTGGGCCACCACCATGTCCCTCTCGCCTTGGTGACAGCACCAGCTTCTCCCTGGTGCCTGGCCCCCACCTTTGCAGACACCTCCCACTTCCCACGTCTAATTTCCACACTGCAGCCAGACAGGCTCTTAGGTCAAGTTCCACCAAGCTCAGAGTCCTCCCATGGTCCCTTACCTAGCCTGGTAAAACCAAGTTTCTCTGTGGCCTACAAGGCCTGGTGCCGCTAGCAGGCAGTGCCCCTGCCTTCCTTTGTGACCTTTGTCCTGCCACTTGCTCTGTCCTTAACCCGTCACACCATCCTCTGTGCCCCCAGCACTAGTCTGGGCTCCAGTGTCCCTGTCCTTCCTAGCTACCTCAGCTGCAGCAGCCTGTTCCTCCCCAGTTAGCCAGGCAGGGGCAGCTCTTCCCCGGCGTCCTGTAAGACTGCTCAAAAGGCCAGGGTGGGGCAATAGTGGGACCCTGTCTCAAAAAACAGAAAAGACTGTGCAGAAGTCACCCTCTCTGGGAGCAGCCTGTTGAAAAACGTGCATCCCTTCTCCCTTTTTCCTGTACGGTTTTTCTGTTGGCTTAGTGGCCACACCTCTATCTACGGATATTTTAGCTACCATCTGTGCCCTGGGGCCCCCAAGTCAGCACCCCCCACTCCCACCCCTCCCACCCCCTCCACCCTCCACCCCCCACCCCTGCTCAGACTGTGGCCTGGCTGGATTTCCACTCCCACCAGCACCAACTCCACTGCAGCTGCCAGATGTAGATCTTGACTAAGTCTCTGCAGTTCTATTTACCAGCAGAGACCGGGAAGTCAGATGTTGGGGTGAAAACCTGCCAGATTCGAAAAGCCGAGAAGCAACCAGCTGACCTTTCTTTTGGGCTGGAGACCCAGCAAGAGAAGATAAGTCTCTTCACTTGTCCCAAACCAAAAAAGGCCAGCAAATCTCTTAAGTCCTTCCCTACTTCTTCCTGTCCATCTCTCTATCTGCCCTCCTGGGTCCTGCATACTCTCTATGGCTAATTCCTGTCCACTAGTCACTGGCTCCGCCCCCTGACCCAAGGTTAATTTTATTAACACAATCTCACAGTTTCACAGTGTAATCAAACATCCTGCAGCAAGGTGCAACCTGGGTTTTAGTTTTAGGGTTGCTTTTCTGGTCATTTTCTTTCTTTCTTTCTTTCTTTCTTTCTTTCTTTCTTTCTTTCTTTCTTTCTTTCTTTCTTTCTTTCTTTCT